GTGTGTGTGTGTGTGTGTGTGTGTGTGTGTGTGTGTGTGTGTGTGTTACAAGAAAAGTGAAAACAGCTGAGATCCTGTTGTTTACTCGGACAGGAACCACGGAGGGTGAGAGACAGACGGGTCCTGTGGAACTCTAATCGCCCGGACCCGCATCGGAGTGAATGAAGCCGATGTGCACCAGTCACTCGGGGCTGTCGAAGGGAGGCAAGAGTCCCCTGGCCCTCCACATTTTAACCTGATTCTGCGTCTCTTTCCTTTTCATCCTCATCACCCCTTGGTCCGGTCTGAGCTCGTAGGCTGGCTCCTACAGGGTAAGTCCTATACTGTGCATCCTGAAAAATCATGCCAGGGCTTCTTTTCTAGTTAAGTCTTATTTGGGGGAATTATATGATACATCCGAATACCAGAGAAGGCTGAGCATGGTGGTGCACGCCTGTCATCCCAGCACTCAAGAGGCTGAGGCAGGAGGACTGCCACACGTTTGAGGCCAGCCTGACCCATATCCTGAGATTCTGTCTCAAAAACCAAAAACAGAAATGATAAATCTTGGGCTGGGGATTTAGGTCAGTGACACTGCGCCTACCTGGCAAGTGCAAGGTCCTGAATTTGATTCCTAATGCCACAAAAAAAAAAAAAAGAAAGAAAGAAAGAAAGAAAAGAAATGATAAATCTTAAAAGCTAATGATGGGACAGAGATGCCTGTTAGACTTGTCTCTACTTTTGTATATGTTCAAGATCTTCCATGAAAAACCATTTTTTTTGGTACTGGAAATTGAACTCAGGTTCTCTTGCGAGGCAGGCGGCAGCACCACTGAGCTAAATCCTGGCTCCCTACCTATGAACTACCTAAATGAACTTTAGGATATGATTATGAGTAAAATCAGCCAGTCTCAAAAAGACAAGTGCTACCTGACTTCACTTATATGAGGCAGCTAGAACAGTCAGATTCATACAGACAGGAAATAGAACGGTGGATTCCAGGGGCTCAGAGGAGGGGAAATGAGTCTTTGGTTAATAGATGCAGTGTTCCAGTGTTATAAGATGAAAACGTGCTACACGTGAATTGTGCTGGCAACTGTCGAATAATGTACTCACATATACTTAACACCAGTGAACCCAAAAATGGTTAGAGTGGTATATTTTATCATATATAAATTTTAACCACAGTGGGAAAAAAGGAACTTCCTGAAAACAGCCTCTTAAATTTTTTTCTCTTTTTATGCCCTGTAAAACACAAACAACAAAAGAAAAAAAAATAGCCAAATGGAATTGCATCAAACTGAACAGTATAGCAAAGGAAATACTAGGTAAAAAGGCAACAGCAAAGGAAATAGTAAAGGGAAGGAAACAGATAAAAAGGCAACCCACAGAAGGGGAGAAAGTAGCCCCAAATCATGCATTAAATATGGGGCTAACATCAAAAACGTACAAGGAGCCAGGTGTGGTGGCGTGGTGGCGCACGCCTGTAATCACAGCACTCAGGAGGCTGAGGCAGGAGGATCGCTGTGAGTTTGAGACCAGCCTGGGCTACATAGTGAGTTCCAGGGCAATCTCAACTACACACTGAGACCCTGTCTCAAAAACAAACAAACAAACAAAAATGTACGAGGAACTCAAAAGACTTAATAACAAGAAAATAATATTTTTATAAATGGACAAAGGACTTGAATAGGCATTCTTTGAGAGACAATATATAAATGGGCAGTAGACATACAGAGAAAATGCTAAACATCTCTAATCATCAGAGAAATGCCTATTAGGACCACGGTGAGATTTCATCTCATACATTTAGACTGGCTACTATCAAGAAAGATGAAAGATAACAAGTGTAGGGGAAAAGAACCCTTCTAGACTGTAGTTGGTACTGTAAATTAGTATAGCTATTTTGGAAAACAGTATGGGGCTACTAAGAAAAAAAAAAACAGAATTACCCTATGATCCAGAAATCCCACTCCTGGGTACTTATACGACAAAATTGAAATCTGTGCTGAAGACACGTGTGTTCTCTTGCACTCGCCGTGGGACGATGGTTATTCACAGTAGCCAAGACACAGAAACAACCTAAGCACCCATCCGCAGACGAGGGGATTAAACAATGAGGTCCAGACACACAGCGGAATTCTAGTCGACCTTTAGGAGCAGGGATTTCTGACATCCGTGGCAACATGGAGGCACCCAGAGGAATTATGTTAGCTTGGCCAGGCGCGGAGAGACAAATACCATATGGTCTCACGTACACATGGAATTTAAAAAAGTCGAACTCACAGAAGTAGAGAGAGGGGATGAGGGTGGGTGGGAGGGGAAGGAAGAGGCAGTCTGATGGGAAGAGAAAGTTCGAGTGCTCTGTTGCAGAGCAGGATGACTGTACGGTATTGCATATTTCAAAATAGCTCAAAGAGAGGTTTTTAGGGGCGGGGGAATTAGCTCAGGGGTTCTGCTGCCTGCCTCACAAGCACAAGGACCCGAGTTCGATTCCCCTGTACCCCTCCAAAAAGAGAGAGGTTTTTAAATGTTCTTACTACAAAGGTAAGTATTTGAGATGATGGAAATGTTCATTAGGATTACTGCATCATTCATATATATATATATATATATATATATATATATATATATGCAATTGCTGTCAATTAAAAATAAGATTAAGCTTTAAGACATCCTTTATCCTTGCATAATGCCACAGATCTGGGCACACAGCAGAGCTCCATAGATACGGGACAATCTGACACTCAAGTGTATTCGCTGGTGTCCTGCAAACATTCTCCACAGTGCTCAGCACAGGGTAGCTGCAAACTGAAAACCAGGAAAGTGTTGATTCCGCGTGGAGTTCTGCACGTCCCTGTGTGGCAGGGGACAGGCGGGCTGCGTGCACACGTGTGTGGACGGGTGTAGATGGTGCTACTCACGAGGGTGTAGGATACACACTGGTCTATCGCGGCCAGGCCCTAAAGCTAGACGTGAGCAGTCTTGCCTGGACAGAAGGGCTATTTAGGCCCAGTCCAGGTTGGAACTATGGAACACTTTGTAATCTCATCCACGGCAGTAACCTTCAGCTGCAGCCTGTGGTGATCCCCGCTGACTCCCGCCTTCTCCTCCACCACCGTCACATCCTGGGTTGCGGGCAGACGTCAGACGCGACTTTGACCCTGCCCAAGTTGGCGTCAGAAAACAATCTCCAAGGCACTCGTTTTCAGAAAGCTAAAGCTAGGAAGCTAAAAGCCAGGGAAATAGGTACAGAGAGGTAGTTCCCTCCACAGGCCAACTGCTCTTCGTCATCCTTCTGCCGACCGTTCATATCAGAACCCGAACCTCAAAGGGGAACTGGGTGGAGATCTTTGATTTCCAATTTTTTAAAAAAGCCATTAGCAGAAGAGCGAGTTTGGTGTGCAGCTGTAACCGCAGCCCTCTGGGAGACCGAGATGGGAGGATCGCAAGCTTGAGCCCAATCTGGGCAATTTAGCAAGACCCTGTCTCAGAATAAAAGAAGGGCTGAGGAAATAGCTTAGCACAGAGGGCCTGGGTTCAATCCCCAGTACCGGAAAAAACCAACCACGCCTGAAGCTCTGAGTGAATGAACTGCGGGGCGGAATCCACACCCGGGGCAGGAGGGGCTTTCTGACCCTGGGTGGCGGCTCCAGGTCTTCGCAGTCGCAGAAGCACTTGCAGATCTTCTCCTCCTGGAGGCTGGTGTGGCTTTGATTAAACAGGCCGAACAGCTCTTCCTCCTGGAGGGGCACCGTCACCATGCCGAGCTGAAAGACAGCAGGGGCCTGGTGTGGACCGGAAGGCGCAGGCAGGCAGCGAGCCTGGAGGGAGGCAGGGGGACAGCTTACCTCCCTCAGCAGCCTGTGCTTCAGGTAGTGCACATTTATGAATGTAATGGCGTTGCAGCACTGGAAGATTTTCACCCCAGGAATATTTGTAAACTGCAAGACAGAATGTAAAGTCCTCCATCCTTTCTCTCTCTCTCTCTCTCTCTTCTTCTTTTTCTTCTTCAAGTATGGAGGACTGAACCCAAGGTCTTTGCACTGAGATACATCCCCAGCCTGTTTTTTTATTTTGAGACTGGGTCTTGCTAAGTTGCTCTAAGGGGACTGGTATTTGCGATCCTCCTGCCTCAGCCTCTGAGTGCTGCAATTATAGCTGTCCACTCCCATGCTTGACTCTCAGTTTTTTTGTTTGTTTTTTGGTACCAGGGATAGAACTCGGGACCTTGCACTTGCAAGGCAGGCAGCAGAACTACTGAGCTAAATCCCTGGCCCTCTCAGTTCTTAAATGAAGTAAGAATAATACATCTGCTTCTCTCCCTGTTAGAGGCAAGAACCAGGAGATTCTTTTCCTTCCATTTTGACCCCTGCTTTTTTTTTTGTTTGTTTGCCTTATAGTTCTCCTCTCTTTATCTTGGCTCTTCTGTCCTTAAGTCCACTAGAACTCACCTCTTTCTGCAGTGTTTAAGGTCCAGCTACCTAAGACCCTGCCTCTCCCCCGTGGCTCACTTCCTCCTCCTCTGAGAACGGACGGCTGACCACAGCAGAGGGGTTTGCGGAAAAATGAAGTGCCAGGCCCGGCGTACCCCATCCCTTTCCGGGGCAGTGGGGCGGAGAGAGCCTCTTACCTCCCGGTAGTCCGTGATGCTCTTGTAGATGTTGGTATTGGGGATCTGACCCAGGCGGGTAATTTCCGTCCTGGAAGGAAATAAATGCCCTTGCCGTTCGTGGGGGGGCGCTCACCTTGCCGCAGCCGACCTCCCACCCCAGGCAGAGTACCTGTGCGAACGGACGGTGATGATGAAGAAAGAGAAAAGCAGCGAGACAAGCAGTCCCATGTCCAGTCCCAGGAAGATCGTGGATGTGAATGTCACCATCCAGGCAACCTTGTGGAAAAGCGTCAGCGGAAAACGATGGCCACGGAAACTCGCAGGATGGAGAACCTAGCAGCACCGCCTCCCCTTCCCCCTACTCGTCCTCTACACCTGGATTTAGAGACAAGTCCCACAGCCAGGTGGCCCGGTGCCGTCACACATGAGGCTGCCCAGCAGTCTTTTTGGTGTCCCTGGTTGTCACAGACAGAGCCAGCCCCGGCCCGCATCTGCACCTCCCTCCCACGCACACTCGCCAGATGGTGGGAGTCGAGAACGACAATAGTTTCTGCGAATCCTTCACATCTGTTGCAAGGCCCTACACGACCGCCTTCTGCGTCACTCTCGGCGGGCGACCTTAGCCTTCCTCGTCCCAGGAGAACAGGCAGAAGCTCCCTGAGATGTTTCCTTCCCCAGCCCCTGGCTTGCTGGCTGTGTCCAGGCGAGTGGGCTGCAATCCGGGAGCTCAGACCGCGCCCTGAACTGCACCCCCCCAGGGCACAAAGCGCCCCTTTCCTATTTCCCCGCCTCTGCTGGCTCCTTCTCCCATCACAGTACATCCCTCAGATTTTATTTCCGGCTATTTTCCCTTTCTCCTTTGATTTTTGTTCTGGGGAGGACAGTACCCCAGCTGTCACTCCACCTGGCAAGATCCCCCTCCTTCCCTTATTAAGATTTGTGTCTCTTGCCAGGTGTGATGGCGCACACCTGTGATCCCAGCACTCAGGAGGCTGAGGCAGGAGGATCAGTGCAAGCTCAAGGCTACCTAGTGAGTTCAAGGCCAGCCTGAATGACAAGGCAAGACACTGATGCAAAAACAACAAAAGTTTTAAGAAAGGATCTGTGTCTTTTATCCTGGAAGATATTTACGTGAACTGAATTGAAAGTCATTCTAATGTGCAGTGGACGATGAGCCCCTTTTGCTAGGATCTGTAAGGAGCTGTATCACTCAGTTTCATTTTGCGTAGTCCAAAGGAGGTCTCCATGTTCCCATGTACCAGCTTTGACTCTCCTTGAAAAAACAGAAATAGGTGGCCACCTGCCTCACAAGCGCAAGGTCCCAAGTTCGATCCCTGGTACCAAAAGTAAATAAATAAAACTAGAGGACCAGGCATCAGAGTTGCTGGTGTTTTCCCTGCCTGACCAGTCTCTGGCTTGTGCTTTTTCTCCCTCCCTTTCCCTCGTGTCCCAGTGCCTGGGGCGGTACTCACACAGTCATACTGGTCCTGCCTCCACAGGCTGGGGAGGTTGTAAATGGCTTCCAGGTAAGGGATGACATTACTCAGAATAATAGCAGCCAACACGGCCTGCGAGGAAAGGTAAACTCTTCATTTTCCCTTTAGGATAAAACTCCCAAATTCTCACAGAGGAACCACAAAAGTCAGCCTTGCCCGCTCGGAGATATTTTATGTCGATATTTCATATGAACACGACAGCATGTTCCAACTCGCGGTTTGGTCAAATAAATAAGCTCCACACTTCTGTGAACCCCCTCCATAATCTGCCCAACACCCCAGGCAAGGTCAGGCCCAGGCCAAGTTGGGCTGGATCCACCCAGTAAAGCTGAGACAGCCCCCTTCTGATGCCAAGGGTGGTGAGAGGAAGAAAAGGCACCCTCCCTGGTTCCCTGTCGCCACTCTGGGCACCTCATCTGGGTGGCCGTGTCCAGTTTGTGTGACCAATCCGTTACTCTCCTTGTCTGGAAATCAGTATCAGATGGGATGATAAACACTTCTGCTCACAGAAACTCTAAATTACTTCCAGTTGGGCTTTCGTTCAAGTTTAATTATGCTATGCTATAGCTGCTTCACCAAGGCGATCATGTTTTTGGAAGTTAAATCAGCAAATTAAAGACATCGATAAGACCCAATATACACGGCTACGCATATGAAAGGACACGGCCCTTTTGGAAAAGTCATTTGGCAGCATATCAAAAAATGCTGGCATGTTTCCCCATAGAAAATTTGGCATATCATGCTCTGTATTAAATAAAATTTTACGGAGTGAAGTTACAAATATGCAAAGTGGTACCACTGATAGAAAAAATAGTGTTGGCCGGATAAATACAAAATGTTACTTACTAATAGTGTATTTGTAATTATGGGGGACATTTTTTAATTTGTTGTGAATTCCCCAAGGTATTGACAATGGACCTGTCTACTTTTCTAATAGGAAGAATGTTTCTTAACTATTGGGAAATTTAGATGTATACTCATAATGCTATAAAAATTATCTGGGTAGCCAGCCTGGTGGGACACACCTGTAATCCCAGCACTCAGGAGGCTGAGGCAGGAGGATCGCTGTGAGTTCGAGACCAGCCTGGGCTACATAGTGAGTTCCAGGTCAGTCAGTCTCAACTACATGGTGAGACCCTGTCTCAAAAAAACAAACCAACCAACCAACAAACAAAAGTTATCTAGGTCTCAAAGTAGAATCAAACCTAAGGAACCTTTCCTTGGGTTCCTGAGGCCTCCGCATTGTTGAGCATTTCCCAGCCCTTTCAGCTGTCCTCTCCTCTGTACTCTTTCCCTGGGCATTAGAACGATACTACCATCAGGCATGGCTGGGCCTAGCTTGGGACACAGCAGGTCAGAAAGGAGGACACGGAAAGGATGAAGTCAGTAAAAATCACTTTGTTTCCACTGCGCCATTCTCTCCAGCCAAGCACCTCCACTCTTTTTTTCTCCCAGTACCAGGGATCGAACTCAGGTTCTTGTGTTTACAAGGTCGGCAGCAACGCCACTGAGCTAAATAGCCAGCCCAAGAATCTCCAGTCTTTCAACAATTTCCAGAACGATGTGGTGGGAGGGAAGAGAAACTCAAGTTCATAGGGGTTTTTTTTGTAGGATATTTTGACTTGAGACAGAGATTACTGAGAGGAAACAAACCTTTTCATAAAGCAATACACAAGAATTTTTTTACCTTTCTGAATATTGAGGTAAAATACACTCATTGTTTATAAAAAATTTATACTCCATGTAATTTCCATCATCAAAGAGAAGGCCATTCTTAGGAGTTTGGCATGTGCTTTATTTTTTTATTTTTTATTTTTGAGGGAAAGGAGTTTATTTGGCTTATAGTTAGTTCATAGAGGTTTCAGTCCATAATCAGCCGACTCCAGGGCCAACAAACAGGCCTGGCAGATCAGAAAGAACTCGGCACACACAAGGCAGCGAAGGTAATGAGAGAGTGAACAGCGGCTCCCTGCCCCTTTTATCTCTTAACCAGATACTTAGGGTGGGCAGCACTCACACCCTCAATCCTAGTGTCCTTGAGCCTAGCACTGCATCAAGAATCAATTTCAGCTTCATGCACTCTAGATCCAGCCTCTGACCACACGAGGCTTTGGGGGGACATCTTGACCCAACCATAACATTCCACCCCTGGCCCCCCAAAGACTCACGTGCCTTCCTTCACACAAAAGGCATTTGGTCCATCCCTAAGAGTCGCCACAGTCCTAACAGTTGCAGCATTGCTAAGAAGTGCAAGTCCTAAGGCTCCTCAGAGACGCAAGGCAGACACTTAGCTGCATGTCCCTGTACAAATGACAAGAAAGCTAAACACTTCCAACATTCAGTGGCACAAGACAGACATTACCATTCCAAAAGGTACAAATAGGGGAGTGCGAAGGAACGGGACCAACGGACCAACGTAAGTCCAAACTCCAGCAGGGGAAACATTAAACCCCATACTTCCATTTCCAGCATCCCCAGGAATCTGTGGCGAGCTGTGAGCTCCAAAGGGCTTGGGTGGCTCCGCCCCTGAGGCACTTTAGGTGGTCGTAGCTCCCGGCTTCTCTCTTGGGCCGGCTCTGCGTCCCCCTTGCAGTTTTCCTCAGACGCCCATGCTCCTGGCGCCTCTAACTCACAGCTTCACACACTGCCCTCTCGGGCACCCTGCAGGCCTTCCAGGCCTTCTGAAATCTGGGCAGAAGCCTTCCTCTCCCACAACTCTCGCATTCTGCATGCGCCTAAAACCAGCGCCACACGGATGATGCCGAGGTCTGCTGCCAGCTGGAGCCGTAGCAGCCGCCTTCCCTCTCTCTCGGCTGTAGGGGTTGAGTGCCTGGATTGCTGAGCACTGAATCCAATTCTGATGAACAGCTTCCCTAGGCCGCCACCACTCCGAACGTAGTGCTCTGGGGCTTCCTCCTCAAAGCAAAGTCCTTCACTTTTGCAAATTGGAGGCTGCAAAGGGTGAAGTGCTGCTTCCTGTGACACCCTCGGGAGATCTTTTCTGTTCTCCTGGTCCTTCTCAGCAATCAAGATCTGCTCTTCTCCATCTTTGAGTCCACAGCTTTACTGGTGCTTCCTTTCTGACCCAACTCAAAACATTTCAAATCATCCTTCTGGTCTCTTTGCTCTTGATTCTCCACAATAGATCTGGGTAAAAGCCCCCAGCAGTAGCCATGCCACTGCCTCAGTATTCGACTGCCTTGAAAGGTCTTCTGTAAAATGAATCAGTCCGCCGCCCCTAATCTCGGTCTCAGGCAGTCTCTGGACATGAGCAAAACGCAGACAAACATTCTGCCGAGCCATAACACACATCGTCTGAGTCCAGCAGCCAGCGCCGAAGTCCCCCGAGCCGGTCTTCCCTGGCTTTCTGGGCCTCTGCGCTCTGACCAGAATCTCCAGCTCGCACGGTGCAGCCAGCCTCTCCCGACCTGGTCTCCCCTTCCCACAAGCGGCTCGGAGGCTTTGGAGCCACGCGGCCTGGTGATGTCAGAGCGAGGACCCCGCGGCTCTGCTGCCACATCTCTGCGTTAGTCACCCGTTCTCCCACTGAGACAAACTCCTGAGGCCTGAAGTTAGAAGGGAAGGGGTTTGTTCGTCCATAGACGCTTCAGTCCGCGGTCAGCAGACTCCAGGGCGGGAAGACAAACAGGCGTGCACAGCAGGAGCAACAGGGCGCACACAAGGCAGCAAACGGAACAAGAGTAGTTTGATGTGTTCTATATACTTTTTTCACACAAAATTAGAACAACATTGCACATAGTATTTTGTGTTGTTTTTCAAATTTGGGGCTGGTGCTTTGCTGACGGCTGAGATCCTGGCTAAGGGTGCCTCACTAATGCCCCCCATACGAGTTCTCAACGAGCTATCTACCCAGAAACGAGTCTTTTGCAGAAGGAAGAAGTCATTCATAGTTTAGTAGTCACAGACCCTCATGGTTACAATAATTCAGAAATTCCACCCATCACACTGTATTCACATCCAGCCATCCAGAAACCCACCAAGTAGATGCTGCGGTGATCCTGTGACATAAAAAAGCTGGCCAGAGGCACCGGCTGTTCTGTCCCCTCCATCTTCACAGTGAAGGAGTGCGACCTGCCTTTATCGCTACCTTTCGGTGAAGTCTGACAGTTTGCATTTTTTGGCAGTTTTGAGTAGTGCTTCCCATAGCTGGATAGAAAAAAATAACTCTTCAAAGTGAGTGACTTTCAGACCGGGGATCTGGCTCAGTGGTGCCGCTGCCTGCCTCGCAAGCACAAGGCCCCGAGTTTGATGCCCGGTACCAAAAAAACAAAGCGAGTGGCTTTCTTCAAGTAGACTCTTAAGGTTACTACAAGTCGTACAAGCTGAGTTCTGGCAATGAGCTCTGCTAGGAATCAGAGAACAGCTGTGCGCTACACATGTGCGCATCGATCCCTCCGTGTGGCTGTAGGTCCGTGCCTGGGCTCCAAGATCCCTGAATCGCAAGGGCAGAGCTAACGGGGTCCTACTGCAGGGAGGCCTGTGATTCCCCTGGCGGAGGCGGGAGGGAGATGGGGACAGCGTTTCCAACTCTCCAACTCCGGGAGAAGCTGTCCTCTAGCGCGACCAAGATGTCCCAGCAGGAAAGAAACCTCCCACCTCCCTCGGTCCATTACCGTAATAGCTCATGGGAACATGAGGAAGACGTAAAAGAAGCAATGGTCACCGAGCACGGATCTATCAAGATAATAACTGAGAGCCTATCGATGGTGCTGTCATTAACACACCAGGCCTCTCAGTCTCACTCACAGGGAAGAAATGGCAACTCCTGCTGAGAGCCACCCTAGTGGACGCGGAGTTAAAACTCCATCCTCAGACCTGCCGTCTAGTGCTGGGGACTAACCAAGGGGCAGGTGACTTTAAACATGGGGGGGCGGGCAGGACCTCCCTCAAACCCACACGTGTCAGGGCGTGTCCAACACAACGGGGGTGGCGAGGTCTGGTGCCTGGAGCCTACTTCAGTCATTTTTCATGGAACTCTTATCAAGTTTACGTTACAGCTTACTTACTGTACAGGGTCTTTTGCTATGTAGTTCAGGCTGGCCTCCGGCTCACCGTGTAGTCCAGGCTGGCCTTAAGTGAGCTTACGGTGATCCTCCTGCCTCAGCCTCTCAAGTGCTGGGATTAGGGGTGTGCACCACCATGCCCTCAGGTTAAGAATAATGTTTCTTGGGTGCTTACTATTAGCCTGACACTACCTTGTTATATATATATCCTATATGTAGACACATGGGTGAAGTTCAAGCCTGGCTGGGTCAGGTGCGCCGCACTCCTGTCTCCTGAGCAAGGTCGGAGACCTTGCTAAGGCTGAGCTAACTCACCTAGGTGCGTAGATGCTGAGCCTAACAGGCTATACCTCCGCCCCTAGTCTGTGACTCCTTTGCCTCGCCCAAGAAAATCACCCCACCATATGTCTAGCCAATAAGATAAATGCTCCTCCCACGCTTCTCCCCCATGGTTGTCCCTACATAAGCCTGCACATTTCCTAAATAAAGTGGACCGTTCCAGAAACCTCCCCGGAGTCTGCCTGGTGATTCTGCGCCTTACCCTCCCAGTCCGAGCTCCCAAACTGAAGTCCGCAGACCAAGCAGCAGATGACAACATAGACATATATATGTTAACTCTCAACCTGTGACATAGATGTCATTATTTTAAAGGAAAAGGACAAGATGTATGTTAGAGCAACTACCAGGGACACATAGAATGTAATTTTCCTCAGAGATGTGCCACCAAGATGCACCCCAGGGATTTGGGTTTTGTGTGTGTGTGTGTGTGTGTGTGTGTGTGTGTGTGTGTGTGTGTAGGGTACTGGGGACTGAACCCAGGGCCTTCACACTTTCACACTGAGCTACATCCCTGGCCTTTCTAAAAAGTTTTGTGTCGAGACAGGGTTTTTGCTAAGTTGCCCAAGCTGGGGTCAAACTTGTGATTCTCCTGCCTCAGCCTCCCAGAGTGCAGGGGTTACAGGTGTGCCTGAGCACACCCAGCTTGGGTCCTTGACTTAGTCACACGACCAGTTCTACTTACGTTAGGCAGTTCGTAGAAGAAGCTTCCCACCTTCACCATCAGGAGCAGCATCACGCCCGCGCCTACCAGAGATGCAAACTGAGGAGACAGAGCCGGTTGGGGAGAAACCATCAGGAACAAACGTGGCCCCATCCGCACCGAGAACTTCTGCCTGGTGAGGAGCAGGCCATTTCTTCTTAAAAGGAGCTGGGTTCGGCCTACCTGCATTTTTGTTGAGCTGACATTTTCAGGTCTTATCAGTGTGCTAAACACATAGTAGGTCCTCAGTAAATATCTGTTGAATGGATGCATGAATGCGCTCTGAAAAGTTCCGGACTTTCCTGGGTGTCTGAATCCTTACTGCCACAGCTCTGTGCTATGCAGCTGAAGTCTCCTAAGATACGACTCACATTCCTTCAAAACTTTCACCCCTCCTCTCACAAAACTCCTGGTGGAATTTACCAGGGTTTTACTTCTCATGTAATTAAGTATCCCACCCCTCACTGTCCCATTTGGAACTTGGATAACTTCCCATGTGACAGTTCAGTGTTGCTTCATTTTAAAAGACTCAAGGACAATCACTTCCCAAATGCTCTTGCTTTCATTTTTCTCTGCTTTGGTGCAGTTCAGAAAAGTTACCTGGGCTGGGGCTGTGAGGCTCAGTGTTAGAAAGTTTGCTTAGCATGAAGGAAGCCCAGCACTACAGCAAACATTCACACAAAACGAAAGAAACAATTTTTTAAAACCCACCCACGCAAGCTAAGGCTGTACACTGCAGTTCTGAGCCTGCCCCAGCTGGGCTTGCTACTCTGGGCTTGGTGTCATCTTGCAAGCAGTGATTCTCATTTGACAAATAAGGCTAAGAAACATAGGTCCCAAGGCTCTCTGGACATAGCCTTGAGTGATTATACACTCTACTGATAGGTCAAGTTCTACTTTTTAAACCCCTAGTGATAAAAATAATACAAGGCAGTATTCCCCCCACAATAGGGATAACACTAACCATAGATCAAAACAATGGCATATCCAAGCAGGATCTCAGAACGCTCCGACCACAAACCTGTCAGGCTGTGGACCTGAAAGAGGTAACTGAGCTTGTGAGTCCTCCAACCACCCTTCAGGACTAGAGCCTCAGAGAGCAAATAAAATTTGCCCTCCGTCACCTACACCTAGGAAGTGCGGTCGTATCTGGCTTCAGCCTCCCTGACCATCAGACTCCAGAATCTAGGCTCTCTCTCCACTGCTCCATTTCTCGCTGTAAAAAGAGCACAGCACATTTCTCTCTTGTAATCCATTTTAAACCATTCTGGGAACCTGGGAACAAAGCAAGAAGGCGAGTCCTTGGAAAGCAAGGCACAAGGACGGGGCGGGCCGCCGAGCACAGCGGTAAGAACTAGAACAGCAGGAAGAAGCCGGCGACAGTCCAGCCAGCTGCAGGCCTCGGGCTCACCACACTCCCTCGGCCCTGGGCAGGATCGGCCACACCTCAGGCTGAGCCCGCGGCCGGGAGGGCCACGGGGTTTTGCTTTTTGCTGCAACCAGAGGAGGGAAATGGGTTCTAGACCAGGAAATGACCGAGTGAAATCCGGGCACATCCACACAGTTCCCATTAATGCCAGATCAAAAGCATGAGTGACTTTTAGTGGCAGGAAAGTCTGTCTCCCAGAGTCCTGGGAAACCGGAAAAGTGAGGCTGCCCTTGCACAGTGAATCAAAAGCCAAGAGAAAGAGAGAGAGAGAGAGAGACACAGACAGAGAAACGGGGAGATCACCCCTGCATGGGTTAGAGAAGGCTGAGCGGCAGCCCGGCTGTGGTGGAGCCGGGCTGGTCTGAAGTATCCTGTCTGAGCCAGCGATTTGCACTGGGTGTTTCAGGATCTCCGGGAAGAGCTTTCTGGCCTCCCTGGGGAACCTGGCTGTGATCCTCCTGCCTCAGCCTCCCAGACTGTTGGGATCACAGGCATGCGCCACTGCACCCGGCCACATCTTCCTTGTAGCATTGCCCTCTTCCGAGCAGGAGTGGAAAAGCCCCCACCGTGACAACAAAACTCGGTCCCTATAAAACGGCAGGATGTCGTCTTCCTCAAGACCTCTGCTCACCATCTTTCTGACTTCTGTTACCTTTCATCTTATCCTGCACTTCGCATTTGCGGCTGTGACACTACCTCCCCCGTTAAAGCTGAGCCTCAGTTCTTCTAACACATCAGTTTCTGACCCTGGCTGGCCCTTCTCCCTATGCTTTCGAGGCCCGGGTTGACTCCGACCTCTGCCAGTCTTTCTGTGACATCTGCACCTGGCTCAGTCCCTGGGTTTATCCCAGCTCCAATTCTGGTAACGCTGACATCTGGTCCCCTGCAGAGCTGAGACAGGGTCCCTTTCAGGGGCCTTGCCCTCTTCAGTTCGAAACTCACAATCATTTGTCTCCATACTGCATGGACCTATTACGTATTACAAACCTATAATAATAAAAATTAAATAAAAACAAAACTTCGCGCCTGCCGTTAGGTAGAGTTTGCCTTTAGTCTTCTCTATCCTCATTGTTTCTCGTTTATTAAACGTTGAGTTATTCAGAGAATTCAGAGTACCTGAAGAGAATCTGACCCACGCCCTCCTCTCACGCAGAGATGGTCCTAGGTTCCCAAGATTCCCCTAGAGGGGCACCTGACCCCTCTCAGGAGAGGCCTTTGCCCAAGCCTAGCCTCGGAGGAAGGCGGGAAACATTCAGGTTAATGCCAGGGAGAGCAGAATTATACTCTTACTTTCCCAGACTGGGTATGAGGCTACATCCCTCCCATAGGGGGGAAATAACAGTTGATGCTAGTTTACCTGAAATATTGTTTTTCTTTGGTTATGCTACCTGCAAAATGGGTTTCTATGGGTGAACATATGGAAACCTCACATACAACAATACTCCAATGGGAAATGAATTTCAAGTTCCATACTGGCCAGTCACTTTTAAGGTAAAATCTGAACAAGGGCCAGGGATGTAGCCCAGTGGGGCTGTGCCTGCCTGGCAAGCGCAAGGTCCTGAGTTCGATCCCCAGTACCAAAAAAAAAGAAGAAGAAATAATAAGAAAAAAAACACACAAAAAAAGATAAAATCTGAACAAAAATTAAAGCAAGCATGGAGTCAGTATGAGGTCTTCCCATTACACAGAACATTAAAACACGCTGAAACCCAGGTAACCCCCTCTGCAAACACACATACGCATTGACATACGTTTCTGTATAGTAGTGAGCAAATTCTTTTTTCAACACACCTGCTGTCTTCCTCCAGATTTATCTTGGATTATGGTCCTGGCCATAGCACCAGTAAACACAGAAGTTCTGAAACAGGAACTGATGACATTGCAAAGGCCGATGGCTATCAGATCCTGTGAAGAGACGCAGATATCCAACGGCTGCTTTTGGCTGAAGGATGTGACTTTGATTTCGAGCTAAAAAATATACTGTTTATTTCTAGTGCATGAAAACGGTGCTGTTTGCTTCACTTCAAACAACAGGCTGAGATGTACTCAGAACAAAAGGGTGCGACTGTGATGATCTGGATTAAATCTCGTCTTCATGTCACGTGGTGACTGCAAGGAGCACACGTAGACGGCAAAATGAGACCCTTGCATTTTTACTCTTTCTCGCAATCAGCAGGCCTCGGCATGGCAGGGAGAATCGCAATTGTACTTTTCTCCCCTCTTCCTGTGCTCTCCTAAAAGGCACAGCAGGACTCCTGTCTACCTATTTCCCTCTTCAGCTCTAAGGAAAGCCCTAGACTAATTGGAGATTTTTCCCTACAGAAGGGGAACAAAGACCAAAGGACAAAGAGGCCAACTAATTACCTATATTAATACCCTGGCATTTTATATGATCTTCACAGCAGTTCTTTTCTTTTCTTTTTTTGTACCAGGGATTGAACTTGGGTCCTTGCGCTTGTGAGGCAATCGGCAGAACCACTGAGCCAAACCCCCGGCCCCTTCACAGCATTTCTTATTATGCCTTAGTATGTGGTTGACTTCTAAGCATGTTCCAGAAAGATAAAAATAGAGGAACTCTGCTGCCTCAACACGATGCCATAGATTATGTTCTCGCCTCTCTGTACCCTGTCTGTTGTAAGGGGAAAACCCTTGAGTTCATTCAGGTGGCTTTGCTGCTGGAAGACCCTTTTGTGATAACGGGCAATGCACTGTCCAGTGGCCTCTGGTGGAAGAAGCCAGCCTTTGTGCTGCGGGAGGCTCAGGGAGCGCACACACTCACAGGACAGGAGAAAGAGCGGGCCTCTCACCTGGTTGGAATTGACTCTGTAGTTATGGAAACTGGCGATCCTCTTGCCCAGAAATATGAGCAGAAAGGAGCTCACTAGAGACAGGGAGATGGATTGTAGAACAACTTTGCCAAAAATGGTGAAATCTGGTAAGGTAGGGAACAGGAACCTGGAATGAGAGAATGGAATCATTCCCGGAGAGGCGGAGCCCCACTCCTCCCTCTTGGCCCTAGGCAAGCCCGATGCTGCCCCTCTGGTTTTTCTCACAGTCCTGGGGTTGAACCCAGGGCATTGTGCATGTCAGGCGAATGCACTCACATGGAGCTAGCCCTGCTTATGTGGTTTGGAGACAGCGTCTCACTAAGTTGCCCAGGCTGCCTAGAACTTGGAATCATCCTGCCTTCGCCACCAGAGTAGCTGGAATTACAGGCATGCAATAAAGGATACGTAGAGCGACCGAGACAACAGCTTGCCGGAACCACCAGAAACCAAGTTACAAAAGCCGCTGAGACAACATATTAGCAGCAGTGGCAAGAAAAAGGACAAGGATTTGTGGAAAACGGTTCCTGGGCAGAAAGCACACCTGACGTGCTTGAGAGCTAAAAGGCTGATGCATTCCCTTCTCTTCACACCCACACTCTCCAGGGTGCAGTGTTACTCACTGCTCTCTGTATAAATCGCTGGCCAATTCTATTCGTACTTTCCTGTAGTTTTGAGGTCTCCAGAGCCATTCATTTTGCTGACAACAATGTCACCTGATTGTACTAGTTAAGTACGGTCTGTGCTCAGGTCTTGTCATACAAGACATTGCCCAACACATTTATGTCGTGATCAGAACCTCTTCCCAGGCATTACTGCCCACCCGCTTCTTAGCTAGGAAACACTACTTGTTTAACATGATAAACGTTCTTCTTGGTGATACGGTCAGATCGCTGTCCAGAGTATCTGTTAAGACATATTTTGCGTGGTCAGTTTTAAGCTAAAACTTCTTGAGGGTTAGAGGCTGTGTGCTTGGAACCACACATGAATGCCTGACTTTTTGTTTTGTTTTTTGAGATGGGGATTTACTACATCATTCAGGTTGGCCTTGAACTCACTAGGTAACCCAGATTGGCCTGAAATTCATGGTGATCCTCCTGCCTCAGCCTCGTGAATGCTGGGGTTACAGACATGCACCACCACACCGGGCCTTGGTATTTTAATTTTTAAAGTAGAAAATTTCCACAGAGTCGCAAAAGAAGGAAGGGTGGAAAAATTGCCTTTCTGAACCCGTCACCCATCCCCATCAGTTAATTCATGGCCAATACTATGTGCACACGTATCACTGCCTGTTGCAAGATTATTTTGAAGTAAATCCTAGGGGTTATATCATGCTGGTTATAAATATTTATATTACCTCTCTAAAAGGTGTATGCCAAGGGGCTGGGGATTTAGCTCAGTGGTTTCTCTGCCCGACTTGCAAGCACAAGGACCTGAGTTCGAACTCCGGCACCAAAAAAAAAAAAAAAAAAAAAAAAAAAAAAAAAAAGGACAAAACAAAGATGTTTGCCAGAAATTCTTTCCAATACCTTAATATATCCAAACAATGTTCAGGTTTTCAGTTTTCCCAAATAGCTTATAAATATATATTTTATAATTTGTTCAAATGAGAATCCAAATAAGATCCAGCTATTCAGGAAGCTGAGTAGCAGGACGATTGCAAGTTCAAGGCCAGCCAAGGGCAAATTAGCAAGATCCTGTCTAAAAATATATAAAGGAAAAATATCCATATAAAGTTCATATATAACCACTGGTTGCTGTGTATCTTTTTTTTTTTCTTCTTTTTTTGGTTTTTTGAGACAGGGTCTCACTATGTATTTAAGGCTGACCTGGAACTCACTATGTAGCCCAGGCTGGTCTCGAACTCACAGCGATCTTCCTGCTTCAGCCTCCCGAGTGCTGGGATTACAGGCGTGCACCACCACGCCCGGCTGGTTGCTGTGTATTTTAAATCTCTTTTAAAATAAAGGTTTATACTCTATGTATTTTTTTTTCCTTCCTTGCAAGTTCTTTTTGTTGTTGTTAAAGAAACCTGGTCACCAGTCCTGTAGTTTCTAGATTTTGCTGACTGCCTCACTGTGTTGCAATATACCATATACCCCTCTTCCTTGTATTTCCTGTAAATTTTGGCAAGATACAGGACTTGACTTTTGTTTTGATCTATTTATTTATTTATTCATATTCCTGTACCAGGGATCAAACTCAGGACCTTGTGCTTACAAGGCAGGTGTGGTACCACTGAGCTAAATCGTCAGCCCGTGTTTTGCTTGTTTTTTAAGGAAAAAGTACTTTGCAGGTGGTGGTCCGTATGCCTTTTCAGAGGCACACAATGGCTAGCTGTCTCTTTCTGTGATATTAGCAGACGATATGCTAGTGTTCCTTAAGGGTGTAGTCTAATTCCATGATATCTTCTCTCTTTATTGGATGGAATAATTTTGTGAGTTGAAATTGAAATGTCATGCTATCAACTCTTTGGATACTCTAAGCAATATTTCTTAAAATAAAAAATATAATAAATATCTAGATTATTTCCCTTTAACAATTCAATTTTCAAAATAATGAGTTGGTTCCCTACCACTTTCCAATGGTGGAAAAACAAGTTGTTTTAGATTTTTTTTTTTTTTTTTTTTTTTTTTTTTTTTTATTTTGGTACAGGGAGAGAGAATTCGGGACCTTGTGCTTATGAGGCGGGCAGCAGAACCACTGAGCTAAGGGCCAACTCAGAAGAAAACATAGGAATGAATCTTCATGACTTTAGGCATGGGTTTCTTAGAGATTAGACATCAGAAACACAGATGACGAAAGAAAAAAATTTTAATTTCATCAAAATTTAAAAATTTCATGCTTCCAAGTATCAATAAAATGAAGACAACTTGCAGAATGGAAGAAAATACTTACAGGTCCTACATTTGACAAGGCTTTGTGGTCCAGAATGTATAAAGAACACCTATAACTCAACAACAAAAAGACAAGCATCCCAGTTAAAAATGGGTAAAGGGCTTAAAAACATCTCTCCAAAGAGATACACAAATGGCAAATAGACACGAAGATGCCACACATCATTAGTCATTAGAGAGAGTAGCAAATCAAAGCCAGGACAACATAGCACCTCATATCTACTAGGAGCCCCAAAATAAAAGCAAAAGCAGAGAATGAGTGTTGGTGAGGATGTAGAAAAATTGGAATACTTGTGCAATGCTGATAGGAATTTAATACTGGGCAGCTACAATTAAGAAATAGTTTGGCAGCTGGGGCGCATGCCTGTAATCCCAGCACTCAGGAGGCTGAGGCAGGAGGATGTGAGTTTGAGATGAGCTGGGCTACATAGTGAGTTCCAGGCCAATCTCAACTACATAGTGAGACCCTGTCTCAAAAAAAAAGAAACAGCTTGGGGGGCCGGGCGTGGTGGCACACGCTTATAATCCCAGCACTTGGGAGGCTGAGGCAGGAGGACTGCCTTGAGTTCAAGGCCAGCTGAAGCTACACAGTAAGTTCAAGAACATCTTGAACTAAAACAAAACAAAGCAAAACATCCTGAACTACACAGTGAGACCCTGTCTCAAAGAAGGTGTGTGTGGCGGGGGCTGGGGATGTAGCTCAGTGGCACCAGGGCTGCCTGGCAAGCGCAAGGTCCCGAGTTTGATCCCCAGTTATGGGGAGGCATACATAGTGGGGGTGGTTGTTCAGCTTTGAAAATATCCTGAAATTTACTGAACTGTGCACTTTCAAACTGAATTTTATGGTATGCGAACAAGATAATAAGAGAATATTCTAAATAACTTCATGACAATACAATGCCAACTTAGACTAACTGGAAAAGTTGTCTGAATGACCAGAACTAATAAAGTAGCCCCAAGAATAAATAGATAGCCTGCATTATGGTAATAATTATATATTATTAAGAATTTTATAATACATAGCATATTAAAATTGAATTGTAGCCAAGAATCTTCCCACAAAGACAACTCCAGGCTCAAATTTATTGATGATTCTACCAAATATTTAGGGAAGAAATACTGCCAATTTTGTAGAAATGCTTCCAAAAGATTAAAACGAGGGCGCGCTTCCCAAGTCCTTCTATAATTGTCAGCACAGTTCGAAACCAGACACAGATATTACCAGGAAAGAAAGCCCCAGGCTTTCATGAACATGGGTGCAAACATTCTTATCATTTCATTTTATTATTTTTTGGGTAGTGCAGATCAAACTCAGGACCTTGCTTACGAGACAGGCAGTGAAACCACTGAGCTAAATCCCCGGCCCTTGTTCTTATCACTTTAGCAAATCAACATATAAAGTGATAATCAAGCTGGGCTTATCTCTCAGGAAGCAGCAGTGGTTTAAAATGCTAAAGCGATTTAACATTCAATCACGATATTAGCAGATTTAAAAAGGAAAAGAAATCGTGATGATTCTGGAGGAAGAGTTTTTTTTATAGACCCAAATTGGCATAATCCTTTAAATCTAATTTGAGAGCATAGATAGGCTTCATTTTCTAGTTCCTTAGACCACTTTCTAAATCAGAAAAAGTCTTCTGAATGTTTTAGGCAAGGTTTGCTATCTGAAATGTTTATTCTTTTGATTATCTTCTGAGCTTTAGTGGTAAACGCAAGTAGATAGGACTCAAAAGTTGATGTACTTCTGAAAAGCTACATAAAGATCCAAATTCAGTAAAATGAACTTTGAGAAAAGTATATTTCTAAAAATTGTGGTATATTTTTCTATAAAGAAAATAATAATAGCTTATCTAATTAAAATTTCTTTATTAGTTCATGCACTTTAAATTTCATTTTCCTTTAAGAAGGAAGAATCCAGTTTTTTTTTTTTTGGTTTTCTTGAGATGGGGTCTCACTAGTAGTTGAGACTGACCTGGAACTCACTATGTAGCCCAGGCTGGTCTCAAACTCACAGCGATCCTCCTGCCTCAGCCTCCCGAGTGCTGGGATGACAGGCGTGCGTCACCACGCCCGGCTGGAAGAATCCACTTTTAACACCTTGAAGAACTGTCTCAATAATTTTTCACATTATTGCGTACATGAATCTAAATGCTTATTTTTTTAATTCCTATTTTTGAATATCTTTTTCCATGTTAGTTTTAGTTTCCTCCTTATAACTTACAAGCGTCTTGGTGCTTCCAGGTAATGACCTAAATAGGAACCAACTGACTGGGCAGACGTGGATATTTCAATTTTTGTTAAATCTGTCCCTTTTGTCCTTGACTCTTTTGATAAAAGATAAGCAAACCTTGGCTGTGGGGTTTATGGACTTGGGCACTGTTTTTCTTTAGGGTCATGTGTCACCGACCTCCTGCAAAAACTGGGGGCCGAGCCCCAAGACCCTGAGCCTACCCCAGACCTACTGGGCCCCATCCCCTAGCCCGACTTTGGAATGAAATAGAAATGGGTTCAAACGGAAGCTCTGCCACTGCCCGGCTACCTCATCTTGGGTAAGTCGTTGAAACGTGGAAAGCCTTAGTCTCCTCAACCCTCAGAAGAAGAAAAATAAGCACCTCGTGGTGTTACTGAGAGCAGCAAATGAAACGAAACGATGCGGTGAAGTGTCAGCCACGAGGCTGCTCGCTTTTCTGGGGCGACTCGGGGAGCTCTGTTCCCCTGGTAGGGAGGGGCCTGCCCACATTTCTTGACAGAGTAGAATCCTAAGCGGGTTTAGCCGCCATCAGATTTCACCGAGAACTGCCGGAGTCCGAGGCCTGCCTCTTGCTAGGGCGGCGCTCAGCCAGGGCCCCAGCGTCCCACACACTTTGACTGCGGGAATGACCGCCAGGTGAGCGGGACAGCGATCCGGCAGAGGGGACAAGGTGGGAAGAGCATCTCTTTCCTGGACGCGGAGCCCGGGAAGGGGGCCAGGGACTCGGTGTGCACCGCAGCTCGGGGAACTGCTCAGCTGGGAGAGGACACAGAGGCCGACCAGAGCGGACGGGGCCGTTGCTGCCCTCCAGCCTCCACAGGCCTCTGCGTTCCAAGGTGAGCCTGGCCGTGGACTGACACCAGTCAGGCTGTCGGTCAGGGACTGAGACAGCACCAGAGAAATGGAAAGCGCCTTGAGAAAGTACAAGTACTGACCTAAAAGGAGTCATCTCAGCGAACGTCTTGCTGTTTTCTGTGGCCATGTCTATCTTGTTCGCAAATACAGTGAAACCAAGAATCTGCAGAGGGAAAGGCGTAGGATTATTTAAATACCGTGCATCGCTTCTGGGAGCAGGGGCGCTCTGGTCTCTGGCAGGGCAGGAAATGAGGGCTGGACGGGACAGCTCAGGCAGACAAGGTCCTGCGGCTGGTCCGGAGCTCCCACAGGCACTGTGGCCAAAGCGCTGTCACCCTTGGTTTGTGACACAACGAGGGGAACAAATAGGGCCACGGGCCTCACTCTCCTCACCAACTTTAGAAATCAGATCACATGACCCTGTTTCCAGGTAACGCCTGGATCAGGGTCTCCTTCATAACACTCTTTGGATCCAGGTATGGCGCACTACATAAATGTGCCCTTTAAGGCATGGCTGGGGTATGCTGAGTGAAAATCATGTGACTAACCCTAAATAATATGGAGAGGCATTTGGAAGCACAAAGACAAAAGGTCTTTAGTGAAGCAGTTATCTGGAGACCCCCCTGTTTTGTTGAATTCTAAAAATGGCAATTCTCTCTTTAGTCCTGACTTTCAGCTAGAGGGAAAGCAGGCAAGCTGGAAGAGGATACACCTCATAATGATCTTGCATCAGAACTAACTAAACCAGAGACAAGACAGCTCAGTGCCCAGGTTTTAGCTGGGCGTGATGGTGCACACCTGTAATCTCAGCACTCAGGAGGCTGAGGCAGGAGGATTGCCACAAATTTCAAGCCAGCCTGGGCAAGGTAGTGACTTCAAGGCCAGCCTGGAGTACCCAGTGAGATCATGTCTCAAAAAACAAATAGGTTTTAAAACTATTAATTACATAGTTGTTTACCCCCTTATCCCTTCCCACAGTCTTTTCCCAGCATCTACTCGAAGATTTCTGTGAGATGCTGAGCAGCAGAGCAGTTGGCCCAGCTGTGATGCTCTGATCAGACGAAGGACCCGAGAAGCCTGCAGGTCCAAACAGAAGGAAGAATGTGGACCGCTGCTTGGGTCAGGGAGGAAGTTAATGCGCAAGAAGTACAGCAGGTTGCCAGGGCGCTCTTATTTCTGGTATAAAGATAATATTTACTCATAAAGGAAATAAAGAAAATATGCAAAACTGAAAAGTAGAAGTAAGTCTACCAAAGGCAATACTCTGCACATTTGAGTCTGCTCTATTGTTTAAATGCACACACACATGAAAATTGTGAACATGTAATATGTGCAATCTGGTATAGCTGAGGGACTCTTGAGTTGTTAATATATTTTGCCTGGATCCCAGATATTGACTTGAAATTCTTCCTAAATATTTGAGACTAGCATTTTAGGATGGACTGGTGGGTGGGAACAGTCCCCGCCAGCACACCTCGGCTGCCGTTTCACGGCAGGTGCTGGGGGAAGTTTTTCTCTCCTACGCTTTTTATTTCCTTGCTGCTGGGGAGACAGGAAGGTCTTTTCCCTGCTCCGATCTGTATCTCTAATCCCTGCCTAGCGTCTCCATCGCTTGATTTAACAGGTGCCTAAGTCGCACACTGCTGTTGACAGTCTGAAGGCAGAAAACTAAGACCTCGCCACTGTGCTGCAGGGCCTCAGTTCCACCCAGTGGTTTTCATAGTTATTTACAACATTCCCCAGAGGAACGTCTGAACTGCGGCCCACAAACCAGCCTGCCAGCCGCTGTCAGCCTACTGCATCTTCTACGCGCTCGTGTTTCTCCTTTCCTTGGCCACCTGGTTGATGCCCACGGCCTTTCAGACCCTTCATGGAGCAGATGCCGTCACTGTGACATCAGAGGCACAGCTGGCCGGGCTCCATGGAGAGCAGGGCTGCCACTGTCTCCACGTGCGTGGCTGCCTGACCTCTGGGGCACCACCGATTTCACCCAGGGTTTGGAGAAGCCCATTGTAAAAGCAGCCTCTCAGCTTCTGGCCTTGACAGACTCCAACTACCCAAAGGAAAAACAAATACGCATCTCCACGAGGAGACTCAGAGGGGACCTGCAGCAGGGCTTTTCAGGCTTAGAGGGACGGGCCTGGACTAGGTAGTGCAAGGCAACATATGCCGTGGGGCCGGGATTTAGCTTAGTGATTTCAGCACCTGCCTCGCAAGCACATAGAGCTGAGTTTGATCCCCAGTATCAAAAACAAACAAACAAACAAACAAAAAACATATGCTGTGGCAATGAACAATGTACAAACCGTAGAGAGCTCAGCATCAGAACACACAGAAATAACAACAGTGACAACAATTATTATTATTGTTGGTATTTTGCCCACAAGAGTCTGTATGGGCTGGTGGCTGCCCAGGGATGCCTCTCAGTAAATGGCATTTTGGGGATCCAGGGTCATTCCACTTGGGGACTGGGTCACCTTACAGGACAAGGACACGGGAGCTCACGCCTATCGCCCGTGCTTTGGCTTGAGTCACAGAGTCCTCCTAACTGCGAGGGAAACACAGGCAGTGTGGAACAATCTCGTGTGCACCCAGTAATCCAGCACCCCCATAGGAGACGTGCTGACCCTGGAGACACCGAGCCTAGCAGCAAAGCCCTGCGCTTGGTCTCCAGCACCATGAACACAAAGCAAAACCGAAGACTCTGGGACGTAATGGACGAAGATGTCTGTAGAAACGTCAGTAATGGCGCAAGAGACAAATTTAATCCGGAGACCTGAAGTAAGATACAAGAAGGGCTGTTGCCAGGCAGCAGCCAGCTCTAGCTCTGCCAGTTACCAGCGTGACGGATTAGGCAAATGACCATCTTGGCCACTCCACTTTCCTTATGGCAGGGTTGCAAGAATACAAGGAGCCTTAATAATGGTGTGGTTGCAACTATAATAAAATTGAAGCAAAGCTTCTGTATAGAAAGTGAAGGCTATTCACCAACTCTGAGCATCGCCCAGTCAGTCTCGAAGAATAAAGCAAAATACGAAAGTATCAATAGTAGTTGACTTGGGATGATACAACTCTAGCACTGTAACTCTCTCCCTCCTTTTCCCCTATTTGTTGTTGTTGTTGTTTTGTGGTACCCTTTTTTATATTTTTATTTTGAGACAGAGTCTTGCTAAGTCACTGAGTTGTCCGGGATGGACTCAAACTTGCCATCCTGCTACCTCAGCCTCCCAGAATGCTGGAATCACAGGTGTGCACCACTGTGCCTGGCTCCCCCTTCATTTTAAAATTTCTTTAAGCTTTTCAAACTTTCTAGAATGAGCTTGTATTATTCTTTTGAGACAGGGTCTCACTATGTAGCCCAGGCTGGTGTTGAACTCACAGCGATCCTCCTGCCTCAGCCTCCCGAGTGCTGGGATTACAGGCATGTACCACCATGCCCCATTTATTTCAGCTTTCTAAGTGAGTATTTAAAATTATCTGAGCCAGCCAGGTGTAGTGGTGCACGCCTATAATCCCAGCATTCAGGAGGCTGAGGCAGGAGGATTGCCATGAGTTTTGAGGCCAACCTGGGATACATAGTGAGTTCAAAGCCAGCCTGATGTACATAGTGAGACCTTTAAAAAAAAATATCTGAATTATGAAATCAGGGCATTAGAAACACCTACCAGAAATAATTCCATGGGAAATTCGATAGGATAATGATTGAAAGAAATTCGGATACACTTGTTGATTCTCAGAGCAACAACAGCTGTTAGAAAGAGTAGGATGCTGGTGGAATTAGCTTTTGGGAGAGCCACACAGTAGTTAAGTATGTTCTGAAAGAAAACAAAATTACAGAGGTTCATAAAGGGGTGTAATAACTGCCTAAATCCGGAGAAGGGCATTGCTCTGCATTAGTTAAAAAAGAAGTCCCTAGGCAAGGTCACTGGGCACCAAGGTTTTTTGTTGGTGGCTGTGTTTTTGTTCGTTTATTTATGGTACTGTGGATTGAACCCAGGGCTTTTGCACACAAGACGTGATTAAGATCTAAGTTCAGTGAATGTCTACATTTTTAAACATTAGTACAGTGAAAGACACGTTCACACGAAGCCCTCACAGTGCTCCTCCTCATCCTGGAAGGCTCCTCCCCTCCCCTCCTTCTTGCCACTTTCTGAAGCAGTTCTGGAGGTGCCCTTTCATGAGTGTCTGTATCTGTGCTGTTGTAGATGTCCCGATGTGCTGAACCGATTCAAAACGTTTACCTTCCTTGGTCACACTGACTTTGGGGAGCAGCCAGAAGCCACACAGTGCCAGATCCAGTGGATAAGGCAGATGAGGGCATCCTGCAATGTTTTTTTTTGTTTTTGTTTTTGTTTTGTTTTGTTGGTACCAGGGATCGAACTCGGGTCCTTGTGCTTGCAAGGCAGGCGGCAGAACCACTGAGCTAAATCCCCGGCCCTTTTTGTTTTGTTTTTTTTGCTACTGGGGATGGAACTCAGGACCCTTGCACTTGCCAGGCAGGTGTGGTGCCCCTGAGCTACATCCCCAGCGCCCACTGCAGTGTTTTTATGAGCCAGCCTTTTGGCTGGGTGGCACTGGCAGTGGCATTCACCACATTTCACAGTACACCTCGTAAGGACACAAAAGAGGACTTCCAGAACCGCTTCAGAATGGCCAGGCGAACTCCTGTCACCCCAGCACTCAGGAGGCTGGGGCAGAAGGGTTGCAAGAGTCCAAGATCAGCCTGGGCTACATAGTGAGTTCAAGGCCAAACTGGACAATATAGTAAGACCCTGTCTCAAAGAACAAAATCAAAAAGAAAGACGAAGAAAATTCCCAGAATGGTGGGAAGTGTTTGAAGCAAGGGGGAGGATTTTGAGGGGGATTAACGGTAATGCGTCTTTCACTGTCATACATTTGAAAACATTTAACCACTCAACATATGTTTTGACCACCCTTTGCGTATCCCCACCCTCCTTTTCATTTTTCATTTGGAGATGGGGTCTTACTAAGTCTCTAAGTTGCACAGGCTGGACTCAAACTTTTGATCTTCCCACCTCAACTTCCCAGAGTGCTGGGATTATAACTATGCACTACCATGCCTGGGTGGGTATTGAGATTTTTATGAGAATTATATTACCGTAGCAGTGAGGGCAAGCATGGAGGTTGAGGAGAGTGTGCTGATAAGCATTTTCTTTTTCCCGGTACCGGGGATCAAACTCCAGTCCTTGCACTTGCGAGACAGGCGGTGAAACCACTGAGCTAAATCCCCAGCCCCCTGATATGCATTTTCACTGGGGATTTAGCTCAGTGGTTCCAGCACCTGCCTCATAAGCACGAGGGCCTGAGTTCGATCCCCGGTACCAAAAAAAAGAAAAAGGGATTTTAAAAGAGTAATGGTCAATAAAGGGAGAATAGGCACATGTGGTGGCCCATACCTTCAATCCCAACACTCAGGAGGCTGAAGCAGGAGGATTGCCACGAGTTCGAGGCCAGCCTGGACTACACAGCAAGACCCTGTCTCAGAAAACATTAAATATTTGCTTCAAATGCTAGGCTGAAATGGTTACTGTAAAGGAAAGCATGGTCCAGCCGCCTTAAATCTACAGAGATGAAACTATTTCCGGGACACCCTTGACCCGGCTGGCCACCTGTGAGCTGCATCTTTGATCACGAACAGGCAGGAGGCTCTGCTCGGGCCTGCTGGTCCTTAGAGGCCACTGGAGGGGCGTTCGCAACTCCGGGTGAGGGGTGAAGCTACTCACATAGAAGAAGGCAACAGGACCGGCGTGGAAAGTGATCATCACCCCGAAGACACAGGGCAGCTGGGACAGCACGAGGTGCAGGGCCACGGCGGCCAGGTAAGCGCTGATCACAGCCTCGGGGAGGTAGGTGGCCATGAAGCCCATGCCTAAGAGGCCCATGGAGAGCTGGGCCGGGGGAGGAGAACCAGACGGGCAACGTCACCACAGCAGCAGAGCTCCGCCCGCCCACAGCTGCCTCGTTTCGCCTCGCTATGGCCTCCACTTCCCTGCCCGCCCCACCCCGTCCTTAACCAGTACCGTTCTCCAGCTCTGTCACTCCGGAAGGTGGCACAGAAGGAGTCCTACGCTGTGTAAATTCTCCTAATCTCATTTAATGTTTACTTGCTTTTTTGATCAACATTTGCATGACACGATTTTGCATTCATCTACTGTCAGTCTACCTTTCTCATTACATTCGAGGTTAATTTCTTACAGACAGAATATTTTTAACATGCTGATCTCTGCCTTTAATGTAAATGTTCAAATATTAGGGCTTAAGTCTGCCATTTTTCTGTTTGTTCTGATTTTTTATTCCTCTCTTCCCCACATCCTCTGTACTCTACTTTCACTTATCTGCAGTATTTTTTATTTGTTTAGTTTTGCTTTGCTTTTTTGCAGGACTGGGGATTAAACCCAGGGCCTTTTACCACTGAGCTTTATCCTCAGCCCTTTTTATTTTTTTTACTTTGGGACTGGGTCTTGCTAAGTTGTCCAGGCTGTCCTTAAATTTGTTGACCCTCCTGCCTCAGCCTCCTGAGTACCTGGGATTGCAGGCAAACGCTCAGAGGAAAATTTAAAACACTGCCAAAATGAACTTTGAGGTTTTTGCTTTGTTTTTGCAGTAGGGGGGACTGAACTCAGGACCTCTGCTCTGAGTTACATCCTCAGCCCTTTTTAAATTAAAGTTTATTATTATTTTTTAAAATCATGACAGTCTCACTAAGGCGTTAAACTGCCCAGACCGTGCTCAGACTTGTGATCTTCCTGCCTCAGCCTCTCAGAGCACCGTGATGATAAGCATGCACCACCGTGTACAGCAGTATTGAGACTTTAATAAGACATTTACATTTTTGTCCTGAGGCTGTGTTCCTTGTCACTGCAGAAAAAGGATCCCAGGCCTGACTGTCATGCTTACTGACCAGAAACACAACCCAGGAGTGCTATTCTGTCATGCTTACTGACCAGAAACACAACCCAGGAGTGCTATTCTTTTATTTCGTTTTGTTTTTTTGGTATGGGGGATCGAACTTGGGACCTTGCACTGGCGAGGCAGGCGGTGGCATCACTGACCTAAATCCTTGGCCCCAGGAGTGCTATTCTTAAAAGAATAGAAGTTATTTTGAAAAAGATACAATCAGGAGTGGAACTCTAGGTTCTAAGACTCTTCTCTGGCTTGGAGGAGAAGGGGCTGGGGAGAAAGTTCAGGGTCTTCTCCTAAGTCAGTGGTGGAAGATTTCTGAAGAGAGCCAAGTTTCATCCCTCCCACAAGAGCCACTAATGAGGGTTCCCTTTACTCAGTTCTTTGTCGGGGGTTATAAGGTCCTACCTGAATCAGCCCAGTCAGAAAAGTGGTGGCCGCCACCACACTTAAGGACTTGTTATAGTTGTCAAAGTAGGAAGGGACAGTAAAGTCGTCCTTGAGGAACGTTCCCAAGATCAGGTGGCCTTTGTTGAATGGCTTCTCCTTCAGGACATTGATCATCAGGGCACTCACAAGGAAGAAGGGGCCTGTGGGGAGGACGTTAGGTGGGAGGTCAGGGTTCGAGTCCACGCAGACTGACAGACACTGACAAAGCAAGCTGTGGACCGTTCCTGGATGGGCTCTGATCTGAGGCACAGACTGGAATGTGGCCACGGAGAAGAAAGCAAGAGCTGGGAGGAGAACCGAGATCCACGTCTCGTAACCAACTCCTGGCAGTCAGGTGCTGTGTCCAGGAATGGAGTCTCTGTGGATCATGGACACATGGAGTGGAAGTCGAAGAGAAATGGGCTAGAGAGAGCTACAAGCCTCAGCCACCGTGGCTGCCCTTAGGGAGATGGTAGCAAAGGATCATAAGCCAAAGCTACAATAGGAGGGAGAGCACGCCTGTAATCCCAGCACTCTAGGAGGCTGAGGCAGGAGGATGCTAGTTGGAGCTAGCCCATACCATTTAGCAACCTAGGGAGAACTTGTTTCAAAAGAAAAAAGAAAAAGGGGTCGGGATGTAGGCCCCAAGTTCATAGTGGTTGCCAGTACCAAAAAAAAAAAAAAAAAAAAAAAAAAAAAAAAAAAAAAATAAAGAAAGAAAGAAAGAAAGAAAAAAAAAGAATAATACTTTTGAAGAATTTACCATGCACAAGGTGACACAGAGCTAATCCTGCTGCAAAGAGTAATTCACTTAATTTTCACACTGACAGGCACACGTGGGAGAGCAAGCACAAATTCTGCCTTTAAGGTACTGGCAACAAAAGCTTGACCAGCCCCTTCCTATCAGTATTTGGAAATGATCGTGCGGTGCCCAGGAACTTGGGGATCTGGGGATAAACTGTCCCCTTGGGGCCCAGATGTAAAATCAGCACACGATAGCTTTGGGTAAAGTACGAAGTGTCACCATTTATCTATTCATTCATTTATTTTTGTGGTACTAGGGATTGAACCTAGGACCTTTACACTGAGCTGTATCCCCAGCCCTTTTAAATTTTTAAAAACTTGGAAACAGGGCCTCACTAAGTTGCTAAACTGCTCAGGTTGGGCTTGAACTTTTGCTCCTCCTGCCTCAGCCTCCCAGAATGCTATGATTACAGTAGACACACGTCCCAGTCCCCAGCTCAGTATTGCCTTTTTTTTGTACTGGGGATTGAACTCTGGCCCTTGCGCTTGCAAGGCAGGCGGCGGCACCACTGAGCTAAGTCCCAGCAGTACTGCCTTTTAAAAAGGCAGAGGAGGGCCGGGATGTAGCTCAGTGGTGCCTCCGCCTGCCTTGCAAGTGCAAGGTCCTGAGTTCGATCCTTGGTACCAAAAAGATCCTGAGGTTGCTTGGTCCCTGGTCGGGTGTAGAGTGGGGACGTCCAGGAGAAAAGCTCCTCACCGAGTGAATGTTGGCAATGCCTTCCCTGCCTCTTGGGCATTCTGTGATTTGATTTCTGTACAGGTTCCCGTAGGTTAAGTAAATGCACTGAATGCATGACCTTCAACTCTTCTGGTGCCCGTGATGGTCATTTCTTTCTCTCTCTCTCTCTCTCTTTCTTTCTTTCTTTCTTTCTTTCTTTCTTTCTTTCCTTCTTTCTTTCTTTCTTTCTTTCTTTCTTTCTTTCTTTCTTTCTTTCTTTCTTTCTCTCTCTCTCTCTCTCTCTCTCTCTTTCTTTCTTTCTCTCTTTCTTTCTTTCTTTCTTTCCTTCTTTCATGGTTTTTTTGGGACAGGGTCTCACTATGTAGTTGAGACTGACCTGCAACTCACTATGTAGCCCAGGCTGGTCTCGAACTCACAGCAATCCTCCTGCCTCAGCCTCTCGAGTGCTGGGATTACCGGCATGCACCACCACGCCTGGCCGGTCATTTCTAATTATAAATTAGTACGTGGACTTCTGACTCAGAGAGGAAAGTGCTTGTCCTGCGGACTTGAGTGTTCTGCTTACAGATGTCCCTCATTTAAGGACCTACTGTTTAACAACTCTTTGGACTTAGGACCCTTGGCTCAGCCTGAGAATCTGTCCTTTTTTTTGTTTGTTTGTTTGCACAGTTCTGTACATCTTGCAGAGAGCGCCTCAAAGTCTCTTTTGTACAGTGCAGTTGTTTACACAGCCCTGTAACTTCCTCTGACTGCACTGTACAGCCAAGTACTGCAGTTTTATGTCCTGTCGTACATTACAGTACTGCATGGAAAGTTATGCAAATAAAAGCAAAGTCACCAAGGTAGAGTTTTCCTCTGACCATTTCTTTGTTCTGAATATTGCAATGTACATACTCATGGGACTCCTCACTTAGCGACAAAATAATTTAACGACCTAAGTTGCCGGAACTGAACTCAGTCATTAAATGAGGAATGCCTGTGCTCTGCCAGAGTTTTCTCATTGTAAATTAATAAACTTACAAGCTGCACAGTAACCCAGCCCCATGCAGCTCGGCTACAGGTCCAGCTGAAAGACTCACTGACTCTGGGAGTATTGGCCAAACGGTCAGTGTTGGATTTCCCGGGCGGAGGGCAGACAGGCTGCAGTGTGTGGTGATTTCACCAAGGAAGTGACCTGCGCCCTCAAACCCTTTGGCTTGTTTCTCTGGAAGTGACATTAATAATGACACACGGGGAGAACCTGCACATCAGCCCTATGGACAGGATGTCCAACTTCTGCTGCTTTTCTTAAACACAGCTTGAAGCCCAGTTTCTCAGCTATTAAATAAATGATCGAGGCAGAAACTCTATCTGCCTCTGGGGCTCTGCATGGAACTCACCAATGGACATTTGATGACATGATCCAAAAATCACGTACACCACGGAGGAGCAGAAAGCTGCGTAGGCGACATTGAGAGGGGGAACCAGCTGCCTTGTCAACAGACTAAGTACCAGCCCTGAAAAGCAAGACAATTCAAGTAAGAAGAGGTAGCGTGGCTTTTAAAAGTCACTCTAAATAAAAACTGTAAAGAAGGTTGGAATAAACTTTATCTCTGTGAAGCCAGACATGGTGGTACACGCCCGAAATCACAACTACTGGGGAGGCTGAGGCAGGAGGGTATCAAACTAGAGGCCAGCCTGGGCAACTTAGTGAGGAACTGTCACAAACAAACAACTACAACAAAACCCAAGTCAGGTATATAGATGACTGAGGGTGACCATAACAGAATCCTGTCACCAAATGCCCTTTTATCGTTTCTGATTCCTACCTTCTCTTGCTTTTATGTCTCAGGGTTTTTGTTTGTTTGTTTTTGGTACTTAGGACTGAACTCAGAGCCTTCTCACTCAGCTATATCCCAGCTGTATTTTATTTTTTATTTTGAGTTAGGGTCTCTCTAAATTGTCAGGTTGCCCAGGGTGGGCTCAAACTTGCAACCCTCCTGGCTCACCCTCCCAGAGTGCCAGGACCACAGGTGTGTGCCAACCAACCACACCGGCTTCCGTTCTCTGTCATAGGCTTGATCACGCCTTTCACGCAAGGTCTTAATTGGAGACCTGGGAAGCCAACAGCGCAATGCTAAGGTCCAACTCTAACATCTTAGAAGTGGCCCGGTCCCCAGCCCTGGGGAAAGCCCTAGGGTGAGGGCTGAAGATGGGAGCAGGGCTGCACTGACTTGGTCCAGCGTGATGGGCACCGTCCGCTCCTTCCCACCATCCTCTCTCTCCTCAGAGGCACCATGGGAATGTAGAATCTCTTAAGCCAATGAACTAACATGCGTGGTGTCGGGCTTCGGGTGTTTTTAAACCCGTACCTCTTACCTTGAGGGTTTCTCCTCAACTTACTGTTCACCTGAATTCATTCATGAGTCCAGCGAGCTGGGTTCTTATCTCATACAAGAGGAATTTTTTTTGTTTTGTTTTGTTTTGTTTTTTGAGACAGGGTCTCACGATGTAGTTGAGACTGCCCTGGAACTCACTATGTAGCCCAGGCTGGTCTCAAACTCACAGTGATCCTCCTGCCTCAGCCTCCTGAGTGCTGGGATTACAGGCATGCACCACCCCGCCCGGCTCCTTCTCACTATCTTATTTTGAAGCAATTCCCAAATATTAAGTAATTTCCTAGATATTTCTGTATTCATTTCATCTGTACGTATTTCTTTCTTTCTTTTTTTTAAAGCAACTCTTACTTAAACTGCAAAACCTGTTAGAAGGTCAGTTTTCTGAGCCGCCTGAGCAGCTCCTAAGTGGGTGGCGGTAAGTAGCAGTCCCCCACCTTGGCACCAGGAACTGTCTGGTGGAAGACAGTTTCCCCATGGATCAGGGAGGGGGATCTTTTCTTTAAGTTTCTTTGTTGTTGCTATTTGTTTGCGATACATGGTGATTCCCCAGCGCCAGCAGTGCCACCTCAGCTCCTCTTTAGCTCTCACAGCTGTAGGCCACAGTAAGGCGGCTGCTCCTGGGAGAATCTCTTACCCCACCAAGCTGACAGGAGCCAGAGCTCAGCAGGGGCGGGTGGGAATGTGGGGAATGGGTACAGCCACGAGCCTATTGGCTGGTGCCACCCACACTCGGGGCGGGGCTTCCATTAGCCACACCCACATCCGTGCGGAACTAATTTAGCCGTCACAGCCTCCATCCAAGCATCACACACCCATGATCAGCGACCTTCCCAGAGCCCCACCTATGAGCACACGAGGCTTTGGGGGACCACTAGATACAAGCCGTGACAGCTGCAAAAATAAACGGTGGGAGGATACCGAGAAGGGGGTGGCTGAGTCCTAAGAAACTTCTAACTCTAGATCTCTGGGGAGTCTCCATACGATTCTGTACTTGGTGTAGGAGGGTTCCTTTTCCACCACAGCCTCACCAGCACTTCTTTTTTGATCTCCTGATGACTGCCATTCTTTCAGGAGTATGATGGAACCTTAGCGTTGTTTTCACTTACATAGCTTAAAACATCACGCTACAGCGATACATGTGTACAATGTTTATAACAGCACAATTCGTAATAGCGAGATTATAGAAGCAGCAGCCTGTATACCCATCAGCAGGCGACCGGATAAAGAAAATGTGGTGTCTACACATAATGGAGTACGACTCAGCTATAAAGAAGGACAGAGGAAAATGGAGGCACCTGGAAAATATGTTGAGTGAAATAAACCAGACCTATGAGCTTAAAATACCACGCGGCATCTCTCAGTGGGGTAAGGCCAAGGACAAACACAAAGATAAGTAAAGGACGGCTAGCAGCGGACAAGAGGGTGGATCAAATGGCAGGGGTCGGAGAGACCAAGGGTGAGGGCTGAGGGGCGGGGGAAAGAAGGCGAAAAAGATTGCCACATACAGGGACCCGATAACCTCAACGAACCTAAACATTATATGCCGTGAGCATGAGCTGAGAGCAGTAATACCAACAAGAATGAAAACGGGGACGGGAATTCGAGGAGGAGGCGGAGCGGGAGGGAAGGGAATTTAAAAGAGAAAACTCGCTGTATTACATAATGTACCCACTCCCCAGGAAGGCGGTAAACTTTGTGTACTGCCAAAACATACTAATGAAGAAAACCAACTCGCCTATGTTGCTATTTTTTTCTCCTATATTATTAAAAATTATTTATTGTTCTGTCTTTCACATTTAGGTCTTGAATCTACGAAGAACACATTTTTGTGCATGGTATGAGAGAGCTATCCACTTTTTCCTTATTTGTAGTCAATTTTGGGCCAGGGATTTAGCTCAGTGGTTCCACTGCCTGCCTCACAAGTACAAGGACCCGAGTTTGATCCCCGGTACCAAAAAAAAAAAGTTTGCATCCAATCGTTTCACCCTGTTTCACCATGACAAAGCCTGTTTTGTAGTGATACATCTGATACAAATCACGTGACTCATGTACGTGTCACTCTTTTCTGTCCCAGTGTCCGCGTTGTCTCTCTGTGCAATACCACGCTGTCTTAACTGCCTTTGGAGTAATTTGTGTAGAAATGGTTTTAATAATTAAGTTAATCATCCCTGTCTCATTGTGAAACATAATACATCCATGGAAAATAGATTAAAATAGTTGTGCTCAGCAACAGACAGGAACAAGCTATTGATACATACAGTCTGGACGAATATCAAACGCATAACCCTGAATGAGGGAAGCCAGCCTTCCAAAGTTGCACACCGTAGGGTTCTGGTTATACGATATTCTCAAAGAGACAGCACCATGGGATTGGAGACCACAGCGGTGGAACCAGTGTGGTAGGTCTGGGGAGGGTGAGACTATAAAGTCAAAGCACAGGTGAGGTTTGGGGGTGATGGAGTTTTCCTGGATCCAGTGTGGTGGTACTTTCACAAATATGCATTAAAATGCATGGATTTATGCATCAAAAGAAAAAAAGAAAAGGGTTTTTTTTTGTTATTGTTGTTTTTATTTTTTATTTTTCCGGTACTGGGGATCGAACTTGGGTCCTTGCACTTGCCAGGCAGGCGGCAGAACCACTGAGCTAAATCCTGGCCCTTGTTATTGATGGTTTTGGACAAGGTCTCACTATGTAGTCCAACCTGGCCTTGAACTCACTATGTAGGCCAGGCTGGCCTTGAACTCAAAGCGATTCTCCTGCCTCAGCCTCCCAAGGGCTGGGATTATAAGCATGTGCCACCAGGCCCAGCTAAAAAAGTAAAGTTTACTGTATGATAAATTATAAATAAGCAAATATTCCCTTGCATTTCCCAGTTAATGTCCCTGTGCCAGAGTTGTATTTCAGCCATCACGTGCCTATTTGATTTATCTCCTTTTGGGGCCGGGATATAGCTCAGTGGCATCTCGCCTGCCTGGCAAGTGCAAGGTCCTGAGTTCTATCCCTGGTGCCGGTTAGGGGAGGGGCAGCCTTCCAGGTTGGTCTCCTTTTTGCAAGGTTTGGTCCTGCAGTGGGGCCCGGAAGAACAGAGCAACGGAGGTGTTTAAAGACTCCATGGGTGCAGCTCAGTGGCCAAGCACTTCCCTAGTCTGCACAAGTCTACACATACACACACACACACACACACACACACACACACACACACACACGGAATAATAAAGCCCATTCCCTTTGTGGGCTAACTTGGTTTCAGGTTAACTTTCCTGTTTCCCTGGAGACGTGGTAACAGTACAATGTCAGCTGTGCTGCCTGGCACAATTGCTCAGGGTGAAAACCATCCCAATTAGCATGCTCCATCTGGACCAGGGGAGCATCCAGCGGGAAGCCTGACTCGGCTGTCCTGAGCACAGGCTCTCTTGGAACTTGGTTTGTCCCTTGTGGAGCTCAGGAAGTGACACACGCAGGCCACTGCTACCAGAGTGTGGGCCCCCATGTGGGAAATGAGGCTCCCAAACCCAGACAGCTGCCGCTCCTCCTGCGTGGCCTTGTCTTACTTCTGCACTGGCCCCTGGGCTGTCTGTCGCCTGCTGGAGAAATACCAGCACGCTGTTCCCTAGCCTTTGCCTTTCTAAGAAAAAAGCACCGCCAAGTGAGACCTACCACAGTAGCGAGTATAACACAACTGGCGAAACCGAAAAATGACCCGGAGGAGGCGCTACAGTCATTCTGAGAAGCAGCCCAAGGCCTAAGCTGAACTGAGTCTTTCGGCTGCATCCCCGAAGGGTTAGAGCTCTGCCAGTCCAGGGAGCGAATGGTAATGATGTGAGTGAAAGTCTCGTTTTTCTGTTCGTCTAGCTCGTCTTTGTCCGCTCTGAGCAGGGGAGAAGATCCGACAGACTCTGTGGGTGACAAGGCTTTGCACCTTTCTTACCTTGAGGGACCTGCACGAGGCCAACACTTAAGCCAGCGAGTAAATCTCCAAGAAGCCAGTCCTTGAATCGATACAGACACATCCACTCCAGGAAGGGGAAGATCGTAACCATGCATCTTAGGAACTTGTGCCAGGAGCAGCTGAGAGAGAGGAGAGCAGAGACTGGATTAGGGAGGCCCCGAGGTCGAGAGAGGCAGAGAGAGGCCGTGTACCGTCCTGAGGGACCCTGCAGTGCTCTGCCCTCTGGGTATTTAGCAGCATCACTGGCCTCTGCCCACTAGATGTCAGTAGTCCCTGCTCCCCCAGTTACGACCACTATTAACCTTGAGAACCAGCACTGCGTGTGTGGCAAGAACTAAAACAGATGTGTGCAGTGTACGATGACTTTCTCTTTTGTGGGGGTATCAGGGGTCAAACTCATGACCTTGCTCTTTTGAGGCAAGTGCAGTGCCACTGAGCTAAAACCCTGCTCCATTTTTTTGGTTTTTTGAGACAGGCTCTTACTATGTAATCCAGGCTGCCCCTGAACTCACTGTGTAGCCCAGGCTGGCCTTGAACTTGTGGTGATCCTTCTGCCTCAGCCTCCTGAGTGCTGGGATTACCGGCATGTGCCACCAACCCAGGCAACTTTCATGTTTTTATTAAATATTTGGAAGGAATGAAGCTTACTAATTTCTAGTAGAAAATGAATTAATTGCTATTGCTTTCACTTCCTAAGGACAGACTTTTGGGTGTGATAATGATGGCTGGGGGCAGGTAATACATTCACCTCATTCCCAGATAATACGACTTTTACCAGATAGTAACTGTGTGTGGCTTTGATTTGAGGTACTTAGAAATTTATAGAAAATGTAGAATGTGCATCTTTAACGACATGGAGGCTGGAGGAGTTAGTCATGTAAAGAAAAGACTTTATACATATAATTATTAATTGATCATCATATCATAAATATATTTATAATTATATACGTTATAATTTATAATGTATATAATTTTTAAAGGTTTTAACCCAGTGCATCTCAACCTGGAGCAGTTTGGTTCCCAACAGATAACTGAAATGTTGAGAAAACTCAATTCTCATGATTGGCACTTAGCAGATGGAGGACAGGAATACTGCTAAATATTCTACAACGGACAAGACGTTTCTCCTAAAGAAAGAACCTTCTGGTCCAAAATGTCAGTGTTGGCTGGGCGTGGTGGTGCATGCCTACAATCCCAGCACTTGGGAGGCTGAGGCAGGAGGATTGCTGCAATCTGAGGCCAGGCTGGGCTACATAGTGAGTTCAAGGCCAGCCTGGACTACCTAGAAAGATCCTGTCTCAGAAAACAAAAAATCAGTGTTTAAAGCAGTGCGACACCAGCTACTCAGGAAGTGAAGGCAGGGAGATCACTTGAGCCCATGACTTCTGCCTGGGCAGCATAGCAAAACCCGTCTCAAAAGAAAAACAACAACAACAACAACAAAACAAAACAAGTCAATGCTGCTGAGGCCAAATAAACCTGCTTTAACCTTTAGATTGTCTAAAAGAGCAGAGTTAGTTGTTTTTTTTTGTACCGGGGATCAAACTCAGACCCTTGTGCTTGCAAGGCAGGTGGCAGCACCACTGAGCTAAATCCCCGGCCCTAAAAGAGCACAGTTACCACCACCAGTCGATCAGCAAAGCCAATTTGGTCTGAAACTGCCTTTTGCTATTTACATTTCAGTATGCGCTGCAAGCAGAGGATGTGAAGATTTTCTTTCACTTGCGAACTGTGTTAGATCGTTGGGATTTTACTGCTACAGCAAACGCAGCTTTAGTGGGCGCAGGGCTAAAATCTGTGCTCAGGAAAGAAGGCCTCGCCACCTCTAAGGCCCCCAAGGCCACACAGGACTGACTCCGCCAAGGTCCAAGGTCGTGGCTGGGAGCGCACGCACCGCTGGGGACGGAAGCCAGGTCTCTGGCTCCCAGGCCAGCGCTCCGTCCTCTCCACCACCTCGTCAGGCCTACCCACGGCGGTTAGATTCTGCTCGGGAGCCCGGAGGCAGAACACCGGCTTGGAGGGGACGTCACAGTGCTGTCCCTAGAGAGCTGGAATGAAGGGCCTGCGGGGCACTTGCCTCAGACCCCGAGCCCCGCCTGGGACTTGTTCTTTCCCGGGTCCAGGGTCCCCTGCTCACCATGTGCTGCTCGGCTGACGCCCAGCCACTGTGCAGTTCTTCGGCTTGGGGAGAGTCAAGGGGACAGATACGGAGGGACGAGGACTAAGGGCGGAGGGGACGGAGGAAGGGGCTGGGGAAGGGACACTGGAGCTCGGGGCTCAGGCCGAGCATTATGACAGGAATTTTTGCAGGTCAGTTCAGGCGGCTCTGGAATGAGGATGTACGAGTTGATGCGGAAGGCACAGATTTTAACAAAAAAGGGAGCATTCGCAGTTGCTGAGAGGAAGAAAACGAGGAAGGAGATAAGAGTTTTTTGCAGAAAGGAAGAGATGGAGTCAAAAGATTATTTTATTTACTAAGAAAGCCCCACTCACCTCTGCTACCCGGTGCTTCACAATTACTTATTCTTTAAATCCCTGCAGTCACCGTTGGGGGTAGGTGTGACTATCGTACCCATTTCACAGCCAAGGAAAGGAAGGCACAGTCGGGCAGGAGAGCTCAAGTAAGAAACAGGTTCAGAACTAAGCTGCCTGGCCTAGCGCCACAAACAAGCAACCAAAACTAAGCAGCCTGGATTCAGGGTTGTGGTTATTTTAAACTACCTTTCTGCTTAAAATTCAGAAACAGAGGGAACTGTGTTTCTGAAGTAGAGACTATGAAAGGAAAAGAATAAAAAAGCATGAAGTTTTTTTGTTTTTGTTTTTGCTTTTCCAAACGTAGGAGGAATTACGAACAGCTGTCGAAGCCTCTAGGAGGCAGAACAGAGGAGCGGAGGTAACGAGGTCAGGGCAGGTGGAAGGGGCCACACTGAAACGTCTTCAGTGTCCTGGGGTGTGACGAGGGAATAGCTCGGAAAAGAGCATCATTCTGTGGAAACGGAGCGAAGGGGCAGAGATGTACTCTTTGACTGTCTCCCCTTTCTCCACCCGGGAGCAGAGAAAACAGGAGTGGTGCAGCCCTGGAGAGGGTTATCCGAGACCCGACCTGTGGCAGCCGGACACTTACAAAGGAGAAGGCCTCAGGGTTCCAGGCGCCTCCCTCGCTGTCACTAGTATGTGCCGTTTGTGGGTGACAAACCAAAGGACGGGTGGGACTAAAACATCCAGAGTGTGACGGAGGACAGCTTGAGCAATTAGGGTCAGTGTCGTGGTGTGGGTCACAAAAGCTCTTTTCTTTGGGTACCGGGGATCGAACTCAGGACCTTGCGGCAGTGAAGCAGGCAGCAGAGCCACTGAGCTAAATCCCCGGCACCAAAGAGGTTCTTCATCTGAGGTTTAGGACCTGCCTATAAAACCCGGGGGTGTTCAGGAACTTAGTAGGAAAACACATCTTTGTTTTCACTAACTTCTTAATAAAACTGTAGTATTTCTTTCCACTCTGAATATGGACAGTAACAATACAAGAAATGGAACTTGACTTTGTCAACAGTACTAATAAAAAAATTTTCATACTACAATTGCTACAGATACCTTGAAATACTATTTATATCATCACTACTTTGAAGTGATGGTAGTTAGAACCACATTATTAACATAATTTGGGGGTTTTCATACTTTGAAAACTATATATCTGTTTCTTGAAAACTGTATTTTAATATAACTGGGTTTTTCTGTTTTTGTTTTTGTTTTTTTTTGAAACAGGGTCTCAACTGTGTAGTTGAGACTGACCTGGAACTTACTCTATAGCCCAGGCTGGTCTCGAACTCACAGTGATCCTCCTGCCTCAGCCTCCCGAGTGCTGGGCTGTGTTTTTTTAAAATCTGAGACAGTCTAGCTGTATAGTTCAGGCTGGCCTCAAACTTGCTATAATCTTATTTATTTCATATATTAGATTATTCTGACCAAGACTCTTCAATGGGAAAAAACCCAAAACTTGTGCTGGGAAAACAGAAGAATGAAGAATGAAGTTAAGACCTTACTTTATACTATAAGCAAAAAATTCAAACAGGATCAAAGACCCAAATTAAGAGCTAAAACTATAAAAAGAAGAAAACACAGAGGAAAATATACATGATCTTGGATTTGACAATAGTTTTCTAACTGTAACACCAAAAATCCAGGCAATTAAAAAAAATAGTTAAATTAGGGCCGGGGATTTAGCTCAGTGGCTCTGCTGCCTGCCTTGCAAATGCAAGATCCTGAGTTCACTTTCTGGTACCAAAAAAAAAAAAAAAAAAAA